AACCTTGAGGACATTATGCTGAGTGAAATTAGTCAGTCACAAAAAGAGAAATACTGCATGGGACCACTACTGTAAAAAACTAAGAAAAAGAAATTATACAAAAGGGGGTTAGGGGGAAGTTTTTGTTGGTTGCTGGGAAATTGGTGGTGGGTGGGGGGAGTGTAGAGCACAGGGCGTGGATTGGACTCAGGAGAGCTTGGGTGCTGGGGAGGGGGGCAATATACAGGGAGGGAGAGGGAAGTGGAGAAACGGGGCAGATGGGAGAACAATTGGGCATGTTTGAATGGGCCAAATGGGACAGAAATAAAGGACGATATATACACAGCCTTGGAACTCCAGGGCTCTGAGATACACGGATTGAGTCATGGTTGGAATGGGTGGGGAATCGTGTTAAAATGCTTGGTTTTCCTTGCATTATAATATAGAGTAGACACTAGAGGGGTAGAGAAAGGAATAGTCAGAAACATCACACTAGAAGGCTTGTATGTCTGTCTTCTGCCTTTAACTGATTGGAATACCTAAAATGGGGCTACAGTGTACCCAGTGAACGAGGCTTCCTGCGGAGCCTTTGCAATACATAAAACTATAGGTAGAAACCTGAACCACATCCATATCACCAGAGATGAGAAATCTCCTCTTGAAAGGACGAGCTGACCATCCTAGAGTGGTGAGAAGAACAAAAGATACTTCTCGAATGAAAGACCTACAGGAAAAATATGAAACAATGGAGGCAGATGGACTGTTACTACAGGAACAAATGGGTCACTTCCCTAGGAGACTTTGGGGCAGTTGGTCGGGTCCTACCAACGCAGGCCCCCTTCCAAGACTGAGACTCAGTGGAAATGCACACTCGGATTGGTGACCACACGCATCACCAATGGGGAGAAGTGGGGTAAAGGCAGCAATGAAGCTGCGAGCTAAGCCTTACAATATTCAGTGAGCTTCTGTGGACCTGGTTGGGGACCTGGTTGGCAAGCAGTGTGAGGAGACCTGAGGACTCCTGGGCCCAGAGTCAATGACGTGGCCACGGAGGACTCAAGTGGAGAATGGAGCTGCCGGCTGATGGTAAGAGAGGGCATGTGCACAAGAACACCCACACTTGCAGATGGTACCCATGTGACCAGGACCGGATGACTGGATGATCAGAGGGGGCAGAAAAAAAAAAAAAAGATTGAGCTGATTCAATCTGATGAACTTGACCTATACCTACGAATGACTCAAAAGAGGCAACAAATCCTTATAGCAAGAAACATACTACACAGAGTAGACAGAGATGGGCAACTTGGACATTGGATACCCAAATGGAGAGGGAGGGACTACAAAGGCAATAAGTGACTGGCTTACAAGCTTTCAAGAGGGAACCTAGACGTAGGGGGCATGGAGGAAGGCAGAATCACCAGTGAGTACTATCCAATCTGTCTAGGTGGAGCTGATGAAATGAAATACAGATGGGTTACTCGCGATACTGTAGTGAATAATGGTTATCAAGATGGATTTTTGAGGGTTGGAAATGCAAAGGTAGACGTTTTGTAGCAAGGAAGGGAGTGATTATTTCTCCGGTCTAGGAGCGGAGGTCTCTGGGACCACCAACGAAGAAGAGCCAAGAGCGGGACCCTACCCAGAGAAGCAGAGATGCCTGAGATGGAGACAGAGACGATGATGTAGAGTGATGAAGCGGCTGGGGACTTTGGATCCAGAGAGGGAGAGGGACTGAGGGCATAAGACTGGGGGGGAGTGGGGGGAGTAGAGGACAGGATTCTAGGATATACCCTTTGGTCGGAAGATGATCCATGGAGGGTATTGGAACCATGGCAATGAAATGATATATGATGGAATTAATGTAAAACTAAAGTTCTCCTATCATATAATTCACAAAAAAACATTAAAAAAAAAAAAAAATCTTTGCAGGAGCAGAAAGCCTCATCTTACTCCCACGGAGAAGCTGGTGAACTTGAACCCCCAACCCTGTGGTTCTCAGTTCAGTGTTTATCCTGTTGAGCCACCGTGCTCCTTTGGTCTGCTTAGACTACCTAAAAAACTTTTAGTGAGCAACGGTAGAATCCAAAATATAAATGAAGGCAAAAACACAAATAAATGATGAAGGTAAGTTAACTCTCATATATGCAAGTACCCATGTAGTTTTAAAAAGGAGAAATTATTTTATTCATTAAGGTACCTGTACTAGGAAGTAGGCCCCATTTTGAAGGAATGCATCATTTCTTATTGGCAATTTTGAAGTGACTTGAGTTTTTTGCTCTGGAAAACTGACGTTATTTTTCCTAGATATATTTAAAATGCCATCTTTTGCTCTCAAAGGATCCACAGGTCCAGCAGGGATGTAATGTGCAGAATAAAGCATCCTGACGTCTCCTTTAGTTCCACCTTCTCTTGAAAAGCTCAAGGATAAATATCGTTCACCTGGGCTGCTTTCAATTTTCTGGTTTTCCATAGGAAAAAATGCTATTAGGCCATAAACATCATCACTATCCTGAATGTAGAATAAAAGCTGCAGATAAAGAAATGAAATATTAAAGTGCAGAATTTGCACAGCTCAGCTTTCCAACTCTATTTTCTAAGACTATTAGAATTTTTAACACTAACTTGTTTATAATGTTTAAAATGATCACTTCTTATCTGAATCAATCAAAAGAGATTTGAGAACTTTACAAAAGCATAGCTTGTGACATTTTTTAGAGTAGAATATTTCTTTGCAGAAGAAACAAAGCAAGGGAAGCAACAATCCTTTCCATTGTCAACACTTCCTATCACATAAAACATGTTTGATTTATGTGCCCAAACCTTTGGCTCTTCTATAGCACATAGCAAAAGAAGAGATCTACCTCTGATGGCTCGCTCACTTCTGCACCTCCGTGTATCGTGTGAAGCTGAATTTGAAGTAGATAAGCTTCTGCCTCTTCTGGAAGATCATCATTCACAACAGTAAGAGGAATTGAAGCCACCATCTGCCCTTGTGCAAAATGGAGAACTCCAGAACTTGGCCTGATATCTGCTGTTACTGGTGAGGGATCACTGCTGTTCCGTGTTAACACCCAGTTCACAGAAACATTACTATGGGTGCCACCGTTTCTGACCACTGTGATTTCTTCAAATCTAGAATATTTTAAAATGAAATATATTTACATGGTAATACGTTCAATTTCCCATTGGTAGGCTTCCCCAATAGCAGTGGTTCTCAGATTCTGGTAAAAACAGAATCTACTTCATAGAGTCTTTGTATTTAATCTAAAGGAGTAGATATGTGGTTAGGTCCTGGAACACTATCATTATACAAACTCATCACATCCCCAATAAGAAAAGAAAGAAAGCATTGAGGTCAAGGTAAAGGAAATGCTACATACTCTAACAGTCCAAGCAAGGTTTCCAACACCACACAAGTCACATCTTAGTATAATATATTAAAATAAGTATAGCAACCAATTTAAAATTAACAATACCTTGAGACTGTATCTTCATCAATTATAACTGTCCTTTCAAACAAGACACTGTTGAATGAGAGGACCCCATAAGGTTTGTCATTCGGCTTAATGGTGACTTGTACAATAGAAGGTCCTAATAGCACTGCATCTCCAAGTAAGGAATCCTTTAGTAATACAATGTGAAAGGATTCAGCAATCTCTGGTATGGCGTCATCAATGATTTGAAATTTCAGGTGTGATTCATAAATAAAAGGTGGAAAAACAATAGTTGTGTTTGGTTGAAGATCAATGAAGTCTATATTCTGCTGGGCATGTGCAGTTGAATTCCCAGTTATAACAGCATAACTGATCGACACTTCATATTCATCAGATCCAATCAGACTTCCACTGTCATCCTTGCCACGAACTACTGGAATTAAGAGTAAATGATCTTCCTCAGGTACCAAAAAAATACTCTGAGTGAATCTCACAGGACTATCATTTTTCTTAATGGTAATCTCAACTGAGCTCCTAGAGGTGTTGATCTCAGCTCCGCCTTCAAAACTTTTCAGCTGGATCAAAAACATTTCGTCATTTTCAGGAATCTGTCAAAGACAGAGAAATAAGGACAAAACATCAGTATCCAAAAATAACTACAAAGAAACCAAGGTGTAAAATGTCACTATGTTTCAACATAGAGATTTTTTTAAATCTTTAATCGAAAGGAACAAATGAAGAGATCTGTTTAATATCCACTTATTAAAATATTTTTCAAAGGTAAATGATGCATTTTATATAGAGATGGAAAAGTGAATAAGGCAATAGTATGAACAGGTAATGGGAATGTGGTGGCTGCATAGGATAATTACTAGATTGTCAACCACAAGGTTGGTGTTTGGAGGCCACCAACTGCTCCATGGGAGAAAAATGAGGTTTCTGCCCCTGCAAAGATTTTCAGCCTTGGAAACTCTATACAGGTTCACTATGAGTTATAACTAACTCTATGACACTTAACAACAGTAGCAAGAATAGATAATGGAGAACAGGCAGTATTGTATTTTTATATAAATAACCTGTGCAGTATATATTTTTTGCCAATTTTTTGACTGCAACATATAAAAAAAGCTAGCATAGCAAGCTTATAGAAATCTTTTGTAACGGAGAGAATGGTTGGCAAAAAAAAAAAAAAAAAATGAAAAAGAATACTGCTACTAGCATAAAAATATGGTAATGTCTTTCAACCTTGATCAGCCTTAAGATAATTCTAGAAATTGCCTAATAAAAATGGACATAAACTCTCACTGGTTTTCCAGGTTGGTAAAATTAGAAACAACACTCAAAGTTAAACAATATCTCAGAATCAAGAAAATTATATTAAGTTTCACATAAAAAGTACAGTCATGAGAATCATACTCGTCTCTCTCTGGTTTTACATTCAGGAATCAAACACATGATACCAAGTAGATGACTTCCAAAATGTGTAACATGCCTCGGGAGAACGGTTGTACCAGTCACTACTAGGCAAAATGTTGACCACTAAAATGAACCTTTATCTTTTACAGCTGCACAGAAATCCTAAGGTTAATCAACTGTTCTGTTGGAGCCTTTCCTTCAGTATAATTTCTATTTTTCACTTATATCAAAGGAGCCCTGGTAACGTAGTGGGTTACAAGTCGGGCTGCTAACCAAAGATAAGCAGTTCAAATCCAGCAGTCTGTGGGAGAAAGATGAGGCTTTCTGCTCCTGTAAAGATCTACAGCCTCAGCAACCCTATACACAGTTGCTATGAGTCAGAAGCAACTTCACAGCACACAACTACGAGCAGCACCATCATTAGCAAAATAAAAAGTAAAGCTATTTAGTTCAAAAAATAAAATTGTATCATTTGATTGAGGATCTTTTTATCTATACAAATTAAAACCTTTCAATGTTCTGGTGTCTTAAGAAGGTTACTGGCTTCCAGAACCATACAAACTAGTTAGCAACACTACCTAATATTTCTATTTTTCTTTTTCAAAAGAAATATTCTTTTCTAATAACATCTTCTATTTTATTTTTGCCTTTCTTCTGTAGCACTTTGTTGTGAATTGGTTTTATGATTTCTGTAGGAGAGTGGAGGGAAGATTATAAATTCCTAGATACTTTCTATTCTTTTGTGTGTGTTCTGACAATACTTAAGGAGTCCTGGTTATACAATGGTTAAAGTGCTCAGCTACTAATTAACAGGTTGGTGGTTCAAACCCACCAGCTGTTCCACAGAAGAAAGATGTGACAGTCAGCTTCCATCAACATTTACAGCCTTGGAAACCCTATGGAGCAGTTCTACCCTGACCAGTGCTGTTGCTAGGAGCCAGCATCAATTAAAAGGCAGTGGGTTTGGTAATACTTAGATTATTTTATAAAAAGTCACATTTTCTCTTTAGCTTATGAGGGACATCATTGCATATAATTGCTCTTTCCTTAGCAGCTAAATATATCATATATCTCACTCCTTGGCAGTTTCAATGTGAAATGTGAATGCTTAAAATATCCAAACAAAAGACTATCATTTGTAGAATTATCTTTGCTTTTATAGTAAAATGTTTGTGCTAGGTGAGTAAATAGTATTGTACCTTCTCAAAACAGAAAATTGCTATAAACGTCAATCATCAGGGTTACCAAACCCTTAAACGTGTTATATGTGGTTCCTAATTATATTCAGATTCATCAGCTTTTGGCTGAATAATTTATGTGGACTAAGTAAAGTAATAAGAACCCTGGTAGCATAGTGGCTACATGCTGGGCTGCTAACCACTAGGTCAGCAGTTTGAATTTACCAGCTGCTCATTGGGAGAGAGATGAAGCTTTGTACTCCTGTAAAAATTTACTGCCTTGGAAACCCTACACAGGGTTGCTATGAGTCGGAACTGACTCGATGGCACACCACCAAGTGAGGTAACCTTACTTATATGAACACAATATATCCAAAATACAGCTATTTATGTTAAAATATGATTGACCACAAAGCACTAACTTTACATAGAACTGTGTTGCAGTAATTTCAAGTACTGAGCACAAGGTAATTCTTGATATATACTTGATATAATCTCTTTAACATATGTCTGGAATATTAAATACCATGTAGGTATTTAACAGCAGCCCACCTCATCATCCAGTACTGTCAAGTTATAAATTACAGTTGCTTGGCCAGGAGGAAATGTGATGTTTCCTTTAGCTGGATTCAAATCTTCTTCGGGTGGATTTGGGCCACCTTCTACCTGCAAAGAAATGTGGTGCCATCAATAAATACAAAATTTTATAACAAAGAGAAACTAATATTGTGATGTCAGTCAACAACAATCTGAAGTTTATTTTAGAATGTTATACAAAATGAATTCTGCAAACTGGTATGGAATGTTAAGGTAAGACCTCTCTTCTAATTAATAGCTAGGGCCTATAATGTAATTGGAGTCCTGATGTGGCACTGCAGGTTAATGAGCTGGACGGCAATGTCAGTTTGAACCACAAGGCCAGCAGTTCAAGCTCACCAGCCACTCCTTGAAACCCTATACAGGAATACTATGAGTTGGAACCAACTTGATGGCACTTAACAATAACAATAATGTAATTATAGATCCTTACTACCATTACCAAACTATATGATTTCTAATTGTTCTCTGTTTTTTTTCTCAACAACTAAACCTGAGACAAAACTAGAAAATTTTCTTATTGAAAGGAAGTGTGTTCAAGATTTATAAATTTCCTTAAGTAACAAAATCTACCAATGACAGTATGGCCTTGGACAAGTTATTTAGAAGCATTTTCCTCATCTTTAAAATGACAATAATATTCACTTCACATACCTGATGTGAAGACATAATGAAATCATTCATTTTAAAGTTATTCACTGAGTACTTTGATTTCTTTTATATATATATATAAAGAAGGAGCTCTGGTAGCGTAGTAGTTACCAGTCAGGCTGCTCGGTTCGAAACTACCAGCCGCTCCATGGGAGAAAGATGAGGCTTTCTACTCCCGTAAAGATTTACACCCTCGGAAACCCTGTACAGGGTCGCTATGGGTCGGACCCGACTCGATGGCACTTAACAACAACAACAACAACATATATATAAAGGGTATAGCTATGAATAGACAAACTTCCTACCCACATAGACCTTACACTTAATGGAAGGGAATAAATAACAAACAAATAAATGCATATATATCAGATGATAAGTACTATGGAAAAATATTAAAATCATTAGGGAAATGAGTGCTGGAAAGAATTGCTACTGTTATTTTGTAGTGAAGAACATTTCAAAAAAGTACGGCATGAAAAAAAAATTTTTTTTTCAATGAGTCAATTCTGACTCATACCCTGTAGGACAGAGTACAACTGCCCAATAGCATTTCAGAGATGTGACAGTTCAAACCCACCAATTGCTTTTCAGAAACCCTATACAGGGCCGCTATGAGTCAGAACCAACCCAATAGCACCTAACAACAATAGCAAATCTTTATGAAAGCAGATGGCTTGTTTTTTCTGAGTGGAGAGACTTGTGGGATCAAGCAACTGACTTTTCATTTACCAGTCGGGTGCTTTAATCACTGCACCGCCAGAGCTCGTATGGCATTATTAAAAGCTCTGCAATTGTTAGCTATAATTATTTACATAAAACTAAAAGCCAAAGACCAAATGAAACATCTTCAAACATCAATAGAGTTTAAACCACTATAACCTGGATGCCTTAATCTTTCTAGAGCCATATTTTTTCATATAGCCTTAAAAAATGTTTTCAATGTGTCATCTAAATGCATAGGGTTTTGGTGATAGAAATGATGCTGGAGATTGCATGATAAAATTCTGCAACCAACGATTTGTTCATTTCAAATACCTTTTTTAAACAACATAAGAGACACATGGACTTCACCAGATGGAATACACAGAAATCAAATTGACTACATCTATGGAAAGAGAAGATGGAAAAGCCGAAACATCATCAGCCGAAAAAAGGCCAGGGCAGATTGTGGAACAGACCATCAACTGTTCATAGGCAAATTCAGACTGAAACTGAAGAAAATGAAAGCAAGTCCATGAGAGCCAAAACATGACCTTGACTATATCCCACCTGAATTTAGAGATCATCTGAAGAACAGATTTGATATATTAAACACTAAAGACCAAAGACCACAAGAGTTGTGGGATGGCATCAAGAACATCATGCAGGAAGAAAGCAAAAAGTCATTAAGAAGACAAGAAAGAAGGAAAAGATAAAAATGGATGTCAGAAGAAACTCTGAAACTTATTCTTCAGGGTAGAAATGTGAAAGCAAATGGAAGAAATGAAGAGGACCAGAAAATTTCAAACATCAGCTCGAGAAGACAAACTCAAATATTATAACAAAATGTGCAAAGATCTGAAGTTAGAAAACCAAAAGGGAAGAACATGCTCAGCATTTCTCAAGCTGAGAGAACTGAAGAAAAAATTAAAGCCTTGACTTTCATTATTGAAGGATTCTATGGACAAATTACTGAATGATGCAGAAAGCATCAAAAGAATATGGAA